ATTAATAGAATTTTACGTCGTGTCGAGGATCGATATTTGAAACGTGCGTACTACACGAACTACGTAACATGATCGTAAAGAACAGTAAAGTGGCACGGAGTTGTTCAATTAATGCTTATCGCGCACTAACTGTACGTAACCGGGACAATTTTCGGCGGATGTTCGGTATATTAATGCAACAGAAGGATGCACGGGATAAGTCGGGGATCTGTTAATTAAATTGTATTTGATACGAATTAATGACCGCGCGTATCATCGTGCCTGTTAAACCATCCGTCGTAAATGATTGTCGAACAGGTGCAGCACGGCAGACGTGGTTCACGGATGTCGGCGGTAATTGTTCCAGTCGTAAATTGCTTGTAATTGTTTAAAGCCTGTCCGTGGCATTCTACGTAACGCGTGTTCGCTGAAATTTCGATGCGGACCGTAATCGAAGGCTGGCGAGCCGAGGGCCAGCGGGTCGCGGATAATCAATTAAGCTTCGTTTGTACATCCAGGGAATGGTAGTCATATATAAACGTGGAACAATTGCTTACAGAGCGAGGGATCTTCGAATCCCTCGTAATATCTTGTCATCGTTGACTACATGATAAAGATCAAGATAACGAAACTACATGCACTGACAGCGATTTGATATCTCGCAAACTTTTCGATCGCATTTGTAACGCTTTTACCTTCATGAATGATATATAAATATTTAAAGACCTGTTTTCAAGAAATTGTAGTTCGCGATCGAGTTGTCCGCAATCAAGAAATTAACGAAAATGAACTCTCCTCATAATAGACATTTAAGATCATCATTGAATCATTGAAAACGACAATTTGATATGTCTCGAATCGCGCTCCTCTTTTCTTGATTCTATTGCACATTAGAATTACCAGCTCATAGAGTACACGATTGATATCGCATTCTCAATTCTCAAATGACTTACTTCAATAAGTAAATTCGTCGCCAGAAGATGACATAAATAATCGTATTCTAAGGTAAATTTATAGAAACGGTGTTTGTTGGAGAACGTCGTTGGAGAGGAAACGACGGAAGTGATAAACTATCGTGGCGACTGCATCGACGCGCTGCACACATGCTCGCCGATGGTTAAGTCATCTGTGGCGTAAACGGC